TTTGTTTTGATTTGCATTCAAATAAAATCTCACTCCCTCCTCTCAACATAAAAAACACAACAACTTGAAAACTATAAACCTCTTTTATTGCCTCTCAATGAAGCGCGGGGCTAATCATGGCAATATCACTAACTGGAATTGCATTATAAATGTAAATCATCCATATGTGACTTCTACATCAATAACAGTGATTTCCGTATGTCAGTAATTGCCTGATGCCTCCCTGCGAAACCTTGAACAAGATCTACAAAGAGAATCAAGAACTATCACCGTTTAAATCCCTGCTGTCCCTCCTATTCACTGCTTCGACTCCACGCCTGCGCTCAGTCAGGGGCTGATTCCACTGGCTGCTCTGAGTGGCTAATGAAGATGGCGGGGGGGCGTGTGTGTTTGTGCGTGTTGTAGCTGAACCGCACTGTGCTTAACATGACTTTGGGCCCAACCAGAGGTTTGGTGTTTTTGTGGCTGCTCGCTTGGTGGACATGACTACCGATCTGAATGACAGATTAAAGCTGGTAACTGAGCAGGGGGGCTGGACGTAGGGGGTGTCTGTCAGTGTGTACTTAAGAAAAAAAAATACCTGATCCAAAACAAATTGACATTGGCAGTCAGTTGGGTGCCAAGGCCTATTTCTGGTTGAGTTGGGAGCAGCAATGTGGTTTCCCTTGACTGGGCCTCAAAACTGATGACTGTGTTTCTTATTTAGGCACTGTGCTTTGCACTGAATCAACTGAGAGATAAAGAATCTTTAAGTGGAATACTATAGCATGCACACTTAGTATTTGATATATGTAACTTGATTCACTAAAGCAGTTAGATGGTGGAGAACTGAACCGTGGCAGCAATATATAGGCAACTAAATTAAGCTTAATTTGATCTAACTGCAGTCAACCTGCTGTTGAGCGTGTTGCTCTACTCTCACCGCAGTTTGTAGCCAGTTTATTGGCACATCATGCCAGATGCATGGGGAACTTACACATGGCAAATTAACTGAGATGGGAGGAGCCTGTGCACAGCTTCATAGCTTCTGCTTGTGCACGAATCCTCTCGCAACATCAGCCTTAAACTGATTCATTTTCTAAAGAGGAAAGAAGACTCCACTTGGCGTGCAAGTAAAATTAAACAATTAAATAAGTCAATGAGCAAAGAGCCCAAAGGACAAGTAATAAATACAACAAATCATTTGCCACTGTTGATCAGTCGCAAGCAATTGCAGGTGGTGTATTGGACTGCAGTAAACAAAGCTGTGTGAAACTTCCAAGCAGTTTGTCAAACAGGCGTGTGCACACTACAATGATCACAGCTGATGAGGCGCATCGCTTGAGTCACAAATCACCTACTTGCCTGCAAAAACACACCGATTTTAATTTGGTTTGTAGTATATTTCTGTCTTTCAGGTCAAAGAGATTCAAAGAATTCAAGAAATCTTCTCCAAAAGCTGGAGACTAATGCTGTAGTAATGCAATAATGTGTGATGATGCACTAATGTCAAACTAGGAGCTGCTAATTTAATGATATGGAAGCAGTGGTTCATAGAGTTCTCACGTTGAAACTTTCCCCCTAAATTACTTTCCAGATGACTGGTGTTATCAGTCTTTTATCATGAAAAGTAACCTGATCTGACACTAAATCATCCTGGGTACAGCCATAATTTCCATTCCCATCTTTTTGTCATCTTTTCTAATTTATTCTTGGTGGAACTTTAAATTAGCATGACACCCCAGATTAAGGAGACGGGCCATGCTTCTCTTCTCTTTCTGGGAGTTGGAGTCATGCAGAGATGTTCACTTAGAGAGTCCTAATTAGTGTAATGGTCATCTTTTTCTCCCCCATTAAAGCCCAGTTTTAGTAACCAGGCAACAATAGCTGTAGTGCATTATGGTGAGCTGGTTTTATATGTGAAAGACTGGAAGTTGAATGACGGGGTGGTAAACTGTTTGGCATTAATTCTCTATAATCATCCATAAGTTAACCTTCACCTGCTTTTATCAAAGAACTTCCTCAGAGGGGGGAAAAACACCCAATTGTTTGAAGCTGAAGTAATTTACCTGATGGCAAAAACATTTTCTGCTAAAATTAATCTGTGCTGCTTCACGCCACAGTCTAATTTGTTACCAACACATAAATAATTAACTCTAAACCCAAAGTGAAAATATTATTCCACACATAATTACATTTCTTTCAGTTCATCAGTGGCATGTTTTGCATTCCAAATTTGCAACACTTTGCTGCAATTTCACAGTTTTGATTTTTATTTATTTACTTGAGCACTTTCTCCCTCTGTGTTTCGGTAAACATAGCAGTAGGCACGAGAGGTGACAGGGTGGACTGCCGCTGACAGTTGAACTGGAAGCTGGTACGAATCTTTGTCAAACTTTTGTCTCCTGCATTGGAGAGCTTGCAACGACGCCTAGCACTCTGCTATGTTCTGGTGAAAGGGCCTGAGCTTGATTACAATGTATAGCTAAAAACATAACTAAACATGCTGCCCCTTTTTTTCCCCTTGAAGATTCTACTTGTCTATGGTGCAGCAAACAAAGCCACCAAATCACAACAGACTGCAGGGTTTCTACGAGGGAAGGATGTTGCCAGCATCACTTTGATTGCCTCAAATGATATACCCGCTGAGGTGATCAACCGCATATAGGCTGATTGGATATTTCACAGGGCGCTGCTGCTAATTTACAAGGTGGAGTGTTGCCACTGTTTTCGAAGAGAATGCCGGTATAAATATCCGTGCTTAACACTGTGAGTCAGTGTGTTCTGACTCTGCCCTGGTCAAGGCACGCTGCAGTTTTCAAACAGGCCCTGGGGCTGTTTTTGTATTCTGCTTTTAACGTTGCCAGCGTCCTCTTTTCTCCAAAACATTAACTTTTCAGAAAAATAAGTGGTTGATTACCCTGTTGACACTGACACATTTGCCTCATTTTGAATTAATCAAGACCATCAAAATAGCATTAATAAAACATTAAAAAGAAGAGGTGAGCAAATGCAGGATACTGAATACATTATAGGGCCAGTGCAGTTGCAGTCCGTATTGAGGATCTGGACTGTGATTGGGCATTGTCATGGTGAAAAGAGACGTACATTACAATGTAAACATGGTCTCGGCAGACTAAATATTTTAATGTGTAGACATGAAGCTAGATCAACTCATTCATATTACATTAAAGGTATACTATACAGGATTATAAACACCTGGCAGCGAAAATGAATCCAAAATCCAACCACAGATTTGCTCTTGTTTGGTGTTTTGCCCCCCTATATTTGCGTTTTTTGGACCCTGTGTCGCTGACATGCCTGTTGCTTATGGTCTGGCGCCTGAGCGCTGTGGGGTACATGCCAATTAACGTTCCAAACACAGAAAATAAGAAAATAATGGTCGAGGGTAACCTGGAAATCCAGATGCCCCGCCCCCAGCAAATTTGAATTTGCTCTGCACGGGGATCTGGCCCCAACGAGCAGAGCCCGGTGAATCGCCATCCGACCAATCAGATCAGTCTGTCTGACAGAGGCGGGCTCTGGGCGGGCGTAATATGATAAGGACAGTGCTGCGCCGTAGGAGTCTAAAAGTAAACAGCCAAGATGGCAGCTGCCGAAGGACTGCGTCCATTCAATTTAGCTTTGGAAGAAACGCTAAGCCAACTACACTTATTTTATTCGCTGAGAGAGGAACAGAAAACTGCCCTAGAAGCCTTCGCTTCCAGGAAGGACGTTTTTGCCGTTTTGCAGACGGGATACGGCAAAAGCATAATATATCAGTTAGCCCCACTGGTCGGCAAACAAATGGGGCTCACTGCAATGAATACGTCACCTTGTTTTCTGCTCTGATTGGCTATCGTGCTATCCAATTGTGTGCGGCAGCATTTAATATGCCTCAGTTAGTGCCGCCCCTTGGGTAGGAAGGGTGTATCGATGAGGGCCAGACTCAAAATCTTTCTAGATTTGAGTCTCCAGCTAGGTCGAGGGCAGAGTCTCTGCAGAAAAATACACCACCACATATCTCTAGTGGGTCATGATTACTTCTGTATGAGTCTATGCATTGTTTAATTCAGGAAAATCCTGCATAGTATATCTTTAACACTTTCTGACGTGTGTTTAATGTGAGTATATGTACCCTGGACATGTCACCCAGGCCATCTATGGCATCACAGTTAAAGATAGATATCTTATTTGGCATTGTGAGGACTAAGAACTGGGTGAAAAATGAACAAAAGTTTGCTTTTGACAAAGACTGTTTCTTTGGCTAATCGTTTTGATAATTTGATGGTAACTTTAATTACGACAGGGTGCTTTATACACTGACAGTCCCATTAAGATCATGAACACGGGTGAGAAAGGAAAAATTAATACTACAATGTTCTCGGAGTTTCTGAAAACATTCGGGCCCTGTTTAACCTTTCATTCCCTTCCTACATTTACAGAGATTTTTACACACAAGACTATGCAGAAGATCAATGCCAGTTATATCACTGGAGATCTAATATAGCACCTCCAGGATTCTTTCTGACAGAGTGTGCAAAAGCCTTGCAACAAAATACAGCTCCGGCCTGAGCTATCAGCACAGTGTTGCTGATGTTGCTTGTGTGCAAATTAAGTTCAGGGGAGGTGACATTGTGAACATGGGAGGTTTTCAAAGGTTCCAGACGCTGTCAGCGTCACAACTCCTTCACGAGGAAGGCTCTGCTCATATCTCACACACCATGACAGGAATTGACTTGTTTTTTCACCTTAGCGTCCCCGGTCACAGAGTCTAGACTTTGTATTTAGTGATTCTACACCCTTCTCCCCTTGCCTCAGCTAGACCTGAAACGAAACCCATCATCCATCCATCAATCTATTCACTCTTACTTTTTTTAATCCCTGCTTTCTTTTTTTGCCTATTGCACAGCTTCTTTCCCCTGTTGCAGCATAAAAAAGACCTGGGATGATGTGTTACAGACCCTATACCGCTCTCTGTATTACTGTTCCTGCTTTCAGTCACCCATCCATCCCCCTACCTCCTTGGAGGGGACCCTGGATCCCTTCCGTCGTGACCACCAGCTTTCCACCATGGCAATGAGGCAGGAGAGCACCACGCCGGCTGCCAGGACACAGAAAACGCCGGCGAAGCTGTGGATGTCCAGGGCGTTGCCGCGCTGTCGTGTTTGGACCGAGCTGTAGAGGTCACAGGGGCTGTCCTTGGGCCACCACTTAAGTTTCAGTATGTCCATGTCACCGTTCTGCTGGAGCTCCAAGATTCTGGGACACAGGCAGGAGACGCAGGCATGTTAGCAGAGACTCAAGTACAGTTAAGGTGAATATTTCACACACACTTACAAAACAGAAATACTGCTACAAAAACACAAAAGTAAGCCAGGTATACATGAATGAATGTGTAGATGCATGAATGAGCAACAAGCCAGCAACATCCAGAAGAGTAAGATAACACTGTCCAGGATGAGCACAGTCATTATGGTCATTGAAGGTGTCTGAGTGTAATTTGAATGAGTCAAACCCTACAAAACAATCACGGAAAATGAAAAGTATCCATCTGTACGAGTCAACTGCACAGAACCTGACAACACTGCAGCTTTTACTGCAGTTGCTATAACTCCTCTCTTCCATTTGAGGGCAGTGTTTGCCAGTCAAATCCCTCCCTGATCCCTGACAACCATATTGGGCTGTCAAACTCATTATGGCTAACATTAATATGTTTTGCAGCACAGCGCGAGTACACTGCCACAATGTCATTGCGCAGCCTAGCTTTAGTCCCACGATTGATGGCTTCAGAGAGGATACAGCTCAGAGGTTGATGGGGTCCCTCTGTTAGCCTTCAGCTTATTATTTAACTGGGTCGTTCGTTTTGGTTTGGAGGAGAGCTGCAGACACACACAGACAGACAGCCGTACAGAGGCTCTGTTAGCATTTCGGCTGGATATTTAACAAGCGATCTGGCATGGAGGAGAGAGAGGGGCACTGGGAGAGAGAGAGAGACAAAGAGAAAAAAAGGCAATGTGGGAACGTGTGTGCGTGCGTGTTTATGCATATACGTCCCTCACAGGCACATACATACTAACACAGTAAACAAATAGATGCAAATAATCCCTAAGCCGCCACACTGATTGACAACAACAGGGTAGACACACATCCAGAAATGAACAAAGTCACAAACTTGACTGCACGCATGTCAAAGCAAACTTAAACAGGATGCATACATGTGTAAATAGAGACAGATGTTTGCAATTATCTGCACAACTTCCTGGGGGCAAGCCCCCTCCTGCAATTTCAATGACAACGTGCTGACATGAACGACAGTGCCCATCTCTCATCTTCAGCTTTCCTCATGCGGAATACACAGAACGGACTGAAATCAATCAAGGAATGCAAATGGGCCCTACAGACAGTTTACATAATTAATTTCATCCACAATAGCCAGAAAAAAAAACATGGCTCATTTCAATGTAAATCAGCTAAACAGGCTCAGGCAGGCACGTCGCTCTATAACCACGTCACTCTCATTAAGGGACACTCAATTATCACTACCTGAGCTTTACTGAGCTGGAGGGACTATATGGTCAAAATGTCAGTTGTGGTTGTAGGAGAGGAGAGGAGAAGAGAACCAGACAATACGAGAATAGAAAAAGTAATTCGAACAGCAAATCCACCAACATTCATTCTAATACGAGATCATGTCCACCAACTGCCGGCTTGATTGTGGGATTGTTTGGCTCAGATCAGCGCAGATTAGTGCCAAGATTAGATAAGACTTTGTGTAGACGATATGCAACATTGACTCAAACAAATTAAATCAAACTGATCTGCACTAGTGTTCAGCAGTAGTAGTATAGTAGCAGCACTGGCCTAGTTGTATGCCCTGGTTATCACTCGACTGGCATGAAGAAGAGGTAGTCGGTGTAGAAATCCCTCGTCACACAACAATCTTGCATCTGTTCTTTTTCAGCAGTGCAACAGACGCTGCTCCTTTTTCCTTTTAGACATGCAACTTTTGGACTGTAATAAAGTCAGGACTTGTGCTTCTGACATTGCTTCTTGCTTGACCCCTCCCTGCACTCACTGGGACGAATTCGCAAAAAGATTGTGCGACTTTTGCAGCCGCTAAACCTGCACTTTTAAGACAACAAAAAAAAAACCAAAAAAAAAGTGTAATTCTCAGAGCACCCACAAAGAGTAAATTGATGCAGTCTCTTTGTCCCTGTGCTATTTGCATGTGTTTAAATGAGGTAATGTGTATACATTTGGTGCAAAATTGGCCCCTTTCTATGCAAATCAGCCACACTGCAAAACACCAAATCACCAAAAGACCAGCGCTAATAGCCACATGTAGTTGCAGGGAAATTATTAGCGTCTTCAGAGAGTTGGTGGTAACTGAAGCGCATTTATAAGGGGTGTCACGCCCAGACTTTCCAGTGATTATGGCAGCAGCACTGACAGACTGGGATAATAAATCCCAAATATGGTCTCTCTCTGTCACATTTAAAGTCCTCGCTGAGAGTTCTGAGGAATGTCTTTGCACCTCATCGGTCAGGACCTGTAGCTCATGGGCTGTAACAAATTTTGGTTTTCCTTATCTCTCTGGCATTGTTCTCTCTACTGTGTTCTTGGTGCAAAGGCGACATTTATACTTTGCCATGAATGACTGCACTCAGCTGACAAACTTTATGTCTCTGCTGTAATATCATTAGCACAATATCTTGCAGGAGAAGCAGTAGCGCTAAAACAATTCACTGTTGCATGCAGGGCACACTGTTGAAATTCAAGGGGACGTGGCTAAGATAGGTTTTTGAACAGTACCTGTGTATAATCCAATTTTAAACAGCTTAACAAGTTTGATCTCGGTTGATGACAGTATCACAGAGAAATCACTGTTTATGAAAGTCAAAACAAGCTTCTTTTTTTTCCCCACAGAAGTGTTGTGCCTTTCATACAGTACTGACCTTTTTATCTATCACTTTGACAACAGCGACACACTCACTCACTCACTCACTCACTCACTCACTCACTCACTCACACAAGCACAAGAAAGCCCACACTCTGACAGACGGCTTCGCAGAAAGACGGATTACACACAGTCTAATGAGATGGAATAAGAACGATCCCACCTATCAAAGAAGCCAGGCAATGTTTTGTCAAAATATTTCATCATTTCTCGCTTGGAATTCAGCCAACTTCTAAAGATTTCTTGTCTGAATTGATGTCTTTTCATGTCAGTCGGAAAGAAAGAGGTGTGCTTTGTGTTGCGAGTTGCTGTCTGTTATCTCTGCTCATGGGGTGACTGTTCCTACTGTACGTGTCACAGATGTCATGTCAAGCAGGTTTCTGTGTGGCACTTACAGGAGTGGAAATAAGTGGCGACAATTCTACTTTAAAATCTGTGAAAAATAATTACTATAGACAGCAAACGCTTCTGCAACACAATCCTACAAAAGGGCTTTACTGTTGACCTTTGAGGGGAAACAAATAAACAGCGGAGAAGGTAATTACTGTAACATTTCAGCGACGCCAGGTGCATGTAATTGTCAAATCCTTGCATGATTTCAAATACGATTTTGCTGTGTGTTTAGATTACTGAATCTATAAGTTAAAGCTTTTCAAATATTAATCAAAGAATCGCTAAATGCAAACTTTCTCCGACTCCACTGTAGACAATCAAAAGGATGCCAAACAGAGCAACAAAGACGAACTAAAAGGCTTACTCCCAAACTTGATCAAAAGATCAAACAGATCAAAACAAGAAAAACAAACATTTCAAACGGAGACTTTCATCAGAGGAATTATTAGGATGTGACTAAGCTGCATGTAACTTTGAGGGAGGACAGAGATGAACAGATTTGAGATTCAGGACAGAGTGCTTTCTCTTTCCCCTCTATTACGACCCTGTCTGCCCGTGGAGCTCATCATCTATCACTCTGCACTAATTGGCCTATCAGAGTTATGCAAAAGCTGCTCCCCCGATAGGCCCTTGAATCAAACCCTAACGCTGACATGCACTCACAAGAACACATACACATAATAGCTACCGTCACATTTACCTTACGTTTATCTCATTGAGGTTAAGCTGCCCTTTCCCCGCCCACAGATAGGCAACAGATACACTGATTTAACTCTGAATATTTGCAAAGAAGAAGATCAAAATAATGATGACCATGCAGGAAATATTATGTGATGCCTGCTGTCTTGTTTTCCTGACACCAACACACTGGAGCGTGCCTGAGTTTGGACAGATGGTGCAAGCTAAAAGTGAAGAGGAAGATGCTTACATGCAACACTACAGGGCCCCTTTTAAATATGATGACAATCCCAACATAATAACTCATAAATGCAGCATGAGCTTGCCCGAGTAATTCCAGTCCTAGTGCTGAAATGTATCTAGCACTTGGTCACTTGCAGATAAGCACATGTAAAGTCAGTTACCAACAAGCGGAGGAGAGATCTCTGTTAGCTCGTGGCAGCTACTGAGCGAGGAATACTTCAACTTTGTGAGAAAAAGTGAGCACGGCGATGATCATTTTTAAACACAAAAGCAGTTTGCCACTGCTCTTCATTTATCTCCATCCCATGGTTGACAGGCGGGATGAAAGGCCACCGTGAGCTGCCTGACAAAAACATGGGTTGAGTCAAAGGTTTCCTGCAGTACACCATCTGTCTGGGTCTCTAATTTGTCTGTCGCTGTCTCACCAAAAGAAACACAGCTTCCCTCGAAAACACGTATGTGCAAACACACGGCGACGCTGACTGAAATGTGAACGCATGCACACGCAGTAAAAGCCGAGTCACACGCTCAGAATACATTGCAGTGCACGGTGTGTTTGAAACAATGACAAACTGACATAATGAGAACTAGGAGTAGCTAATTAAAGTGTGTGTGTGTGAGTGCGTGCTGGTGTGTCATGGTCTTTATGTCCTCATGAAAGATCCACTACATTACACCAAGTTTGATGGAGTTCATGATACAGTGCAGGAGAGGAAATCTGACAAGTAATTTATTTTCCCCACAGCAGTGTGCTTTTCCCTGCACAGTTATCCAAAAACTTTTTTTGCTTTAATTTCAGTCTGAATATGTAGAATATAGAACTGAGGGAGTGTACACTTAGATGTGTTTCTTAGTTTCTTGTTTTTTTCTCTTCCTTCAGGGTGTGTTAGTGTTTTTTCCTCAAGGCGTCATCAGTCAGAACACTGCTGCCTGCGGTATCGGGAAATAGATCACTTTGATCACTAAAAATAGCTTCTACTATATATCA